GAATCCACTATTGTTCAAAAAAGTCACGCTTGCCAATAACCATCCCGTAACAGTAGTTGGGCAGCATGTTTGGAGTCAGACGGTAATTTCTGCGTATCACTGACATTAAACAGGGTGACAGCTGAATTCTGGAGAGGAGGAACCCTGCTCTCCTTTGGGGATGAAAGCACCTAGCGCTGCAGTCCCAGTCTTTAGGTGTTAGGCTAGCAAAACTCGCAGATGTTAAATACAATAAATAATTCAAAACACACTAGAGTAGCTCAGAAATAATATATGTGGGATAAAGGGCATTTCAGGTGTGATCTAACATACCATTCAGCCTGGAGAAAAGAAGACTCTGGGGAAACCTTGCTGCAGCCTTCCAGTACTTAAAGGGGGCTCTGAGAAAGATGGGGACAGACTTTTTAGCAGAGCCTGTTGCGATACGACAAGGGGTGATGGCTTTCAGCTGAAACAGGGCAGATTTAGATTAGATAGAAGGAAGACATTTTTCCCCACTGAGAGTGGTGAACCACTGGCACAGGTTGCCCAGAGAGGTGGTAGATGCCCCATCCCTGGAAAGACTCCAGGTCAGGTTGGACGGGGCTCTGAGCAACCTGATCTAGTTGAAGATGTCCCTGCTCACTGCAAGGGGGTTGGACTAGATGGCCTTTAAAGGTCCCTTCCAACCCAAACTATTTTGTGATTTTTTATGGAGCTCTATTTTGTTGTTGCAGAACATTGAAGAAAAAGCCTCTTGGGCTGCTCCTGACTTCTCTCCCTTAAAAAAAAAAAAAGCACCAATAAAAGGATGGGAAAATCCATTAAAATTACTTTGCATCTCATGTTCTCATACAAGCCAGTTTAATATAGAAAATGCTATAATCAGTGACCAGCTTCATTCCCATATAGAGAAAATAATACCACTCAATAACAGCCTACATCAGTAGCATTCACTGTTACAACCTCTGCATTAGAGAGGAGTATGTCAGGAGAAGTAAAAATCATGAGTTTTCCACAAAAACGTTAGGCAGCTTTGTCAGATGTAGTGGTATGTACACATTTCTTATTCAACATGCTTCCTCAGTCTTTCTTCTTTGGAGGAAAACACACTGGCTTTTTTGTTTAAGACATCAAACACTGGATATGGTAGTTGGTACAAAGCTCTATCTCCTATTCTAAAGCCAATTTGGTTCTTCAGTTAGAGTTGGTTTTACCATTTCATGTCAACCAAGATTTCTCATGCTGTCTTCCTGTTTTGATGACATCTAAATTTAAAGGGTGCGGATAACTATTGTTAGTGACGACAAGGGGCAAGAGCCACACCTTTACTCTTCAACAGGAACATATAAACTATGGATGCTGATACTGCAAACAAAACTGATGGCCTCACTTTCTCTCTGAATTAACCTCCAGAACAGGAGGTGCTAGACAGATCATAGCCCGATCTCAAATAATTATTTTGCTAATGATCCTAGGTGAAAAATGCTTTTTTTTGCCAATAACTTACACATTAGCATAGGGAGAACTCAAAGCTTCCTTGGATGCATACTATTTCTGGCTTACTGAAACCAACACTTTTTAAGTAAGTGTTGAAAATATTTGAAAAAGAATTGCCAAGTGAGCCTGAACACCTGGACCAGATATCCTGCTTTGCTGTAACACAGTCTATTTAGGGCTGTCTCAGAAAGACACTCATACTTCAACTACTGCAATATGTCACCACCTTATAAATGGGAGAGCGCGGTATCAGCAAGTAAAATTGCTGCCATGTCATGCCCTGGCACTGGCTTTCTCCTCCCAGGTGCAAGGTGTGATGTCAGGTTTCAGTGTAAAGGATCTGAGTGATTAAACCTAGCTATGAACTCACAAGTAAAAGACAAACTGATAGAAGCACTGAGCCCTGGACCTTTAACTAAGAAACACACAGCTGCACTGAACTTCAAGGGTTGAGGCATTTCAGTGCCGAGTAGCAGTAACTCTGGAACTGCTAAAATGCAATTAGTGTATGACTTCAGCCATCACGAACTGCGCTACATTAAAAAAACACCTTTCAGAATTTCTGTATTGCAGAAAGTAAAAATTAATGAATCCTGTCAAGATTTTTTAAACTAAAATCTTCAGACACTTCCAAGGTACGTCATTACATATTTCACAATTCATAAGTCAAAACTTGGAAATTAAAATAGCGTGTCTTTATTGATAGTCTGCCACAAATTATTGTATAGTTAGCCAAAAATGTATCCGCTACATGGGAAGATCCTGAACATTCCAAGCGTATCTGCGAAAAGCAAATGCTTTCTTATAGCAGATAACAGATGTTCTGTTACCAGCTCTGACTACAGTGCCACACGCAACTGCAGTGTTGTTTTACACGAACTCTGTGAGGCTCAGTAGAGTCACTGTCTCCATTATACTTTAACGTTATGCCTTCACTGACTTCAGTGGGACTCCTCTGTCTCTTAGGTGAGCTTGTACACAGTGTCGGCAGGACTGGAGTATGTGACTACAGAAGCAGTGCCAAGGGGGAGGAGAACAGACATACTACAACAGGAATTCCAACAATTCAATGCATCCTTACTGTAGGAAATCGGTATCTTTACATACTACTGAGTGTTAAAAACAAACAAAGATGTTTAAGCACAAAGTATATATTTATACCAAATAAAACAACTGAAAAAGTATTACATAAAGAAAAATAATGTAACAGAATGTACTTAAGTACCTAACTTACAGTCATGCTCATATCTAAAAGTAACATTGGTAACTAATATATATAATTTTTGACAAGGGTGCATTTAAGAGTTCTCTAACATACAACATTCTAAATGTGGAGAGTATTTTTTCCAAGATACAGAAAACAAATTATTTTACACAGGCACACCTGTTAATTTGTATAAAAAACATGCTTGTAAGTGAAAAGGTCACTTTAGTACTAATTTACCAGATGTGTGAATGCTATGTAGTGTTAATCATGCTGGAATCGTCTCTTCTCCTTTTGCATTGGTGAGCGCCAACACTGAATGGTACAATATTTGATCCGTATGGTTTACTGACACTGCAACCTGTTTCCAAGCAGTAGCCCTGCCCAGGTGTTGAACAGCACAGTACTGTACAGCCCCATCTGTCTGCATGTAGTGTATTTATAACTAAAAGCTATTACAATTATTACAATGATTTCTGTTTCAATATATACATCAGTATAAAATACTACCCAAAACACTTTTGCATTTCAAACAATTTTAACCACTTCATCAAACAATGCATTTGCAGAATTTTAAAAAAAAAAAAAAAATCCAAATTAATGTTGATTGCCAACAGTACAGCATCTCTATGGTATGTTTCCTAATAAATGAGAGAACGGAAATGTATTAAAATCAATTAAAATAAGTATCACAAAACATAATTAATGTTAGAGCAGTTCAAGGATTCCCAGTTTGTCAGTATCTACCCTAAGCAGTGCTACCCAAATACAGTATAAGCCATTTAGTGTTTCTACAATGAGAAGAAAACATTCATATATTAAAGCTGTGACAAACACACAAAAGCAAGGAAAGAAAATTTGTTCTGTACTCATCCCTGTTGTAGCAAGGTACAGCAGGCCAGGACTTTGCACTCAGTGCATCTTATGTGCTATTATACCTGGATACAACTGTGGAAGACAACTGAAATGGAATCAACTCTGAATTTCCTTGCTGTTGTGGTTTTATGTCAGACCATTCAAGTTATAACAACTTAGTGTCTTTTTTTCCTGAAGGGAAGAAGAGAGAAGTATTCATAATGAAACTGTAAAAATGCTACTAAAATCCCTATCTTGGACACAATATACTGCTTCAGGAGCTACTGTGTCATTGCACAATATAAGTGGCCTATTAATCGCTGAATTATTGGTGTAGCAGAATATATCTGTCATTGTGGATGTGTTTTGAAATTGGCATTTTAAAACCTGTCTGTATCCCTTAACAAGCCACAAACAGTTTTGTGTATTTCAAACACTAATATCCTTATATAAAAGTAGTAAATATACATTTATAGAGGCAAATTTCAAATCTCTGTCTCTGCTGCTTCAGTTTTTAAAATGAGACTTGGTTCAGAGTTTTCACTCGTTATATTATCCTAAACAGAACTACTTCTGAAGCATAAAAAAATCCAAATGATAATAGTAAGGGGGGTGGGGGGAATGGGTTTGTTTTGCTGATTTATTCCTAACTTGAAAAATAATCAGTGTATTTAAAAAAAACACAAAACAAAAAACCCCCAAAAATCTCTCCCCAGAAGTCCTGGCTAGCTGAGATTTTTTTCAAAACCAAGTTTCATGCTTACAGTATCTTTATAGCCATGTTATACACCCTTGAAAATAAAGGCTCACATTGAGAATGGTGACAGGCCCTTAATTATAGAGGTGCTAACTGGTGACACTATTTTTCATCAGAAAAAAACAAAAGCCCCACAAAACTTCATAGCTTATACTGAAAGTTTGATTCATGCTCATTTTGTTCATTTAAAAATACTCTTTGGAAACTGTGTCAACTCCTGCAGACAACTTAGTGATACATCTGTTCCTGTTAAAATAAAGGTAATTCATATTCACCTCTACCCCATGCTAAGCTCTACTACTAATATACACTTCATTACCTGCTCATGTCACCATCTAACACATATCTTTACATTCTTCTACATATAGTGTCCAGGGCTTATTTTTCACCAAACAGAATTTGATAACTATTACACTTATGAGTTTTTCTTGAGGATTTTTTTTTTTTTGGTGTTCTAGCCTTTTCATTGCAACTTAGGAGTGATAGTAATAGTTCGGACTTTTTCCATGCGAACTTAAGAGAATCTTTCTGTAGTTTTTTCCCATTAAGGATTTTAAAATCTAAACTCACTTAGATATCAAAACTGAAAACCAGAAGAGAGATTAGATGCATCTGTCATTTTAAAATGGTTTCTGCTACTTTAAAATCCATTTAAAAATTGTACATACGACACTTAGGATTCTAACTTTTACATTGCTGCAATCAGATTCTAATTCAAAATCTTACAAATAAACATGAAAAATAAGCCACTGGTCATGAATTCTAATGATTACATTCAAAGCTAGCCTTTAAAAAAATAAAAAAGTTACAGGCAAAACATACTGGTTTATGTACTCACTAGCTTATCAGGCTACAATAGGCATGTTTTAAGTATAAAAAAGCAGACAATTCAGATTTAAATAAGACTATGTGAAATCAGAAAAAACTCTTGGATTTCACTATTTTAAAAAAGAACACCTATAATTGCTTCCCATCCTACAGCTACAGTTAAACCAACTAACAAAAATAATCAAACTATTTTTGACAAACAAAAATTAGGCTAGAATATGTGGCAACAATCAAAGTTCATATATGTTTCTATATAAAATGACTCATGATTTACTATAACATAAAATATGAACAAGAGCACTTTGTGACTAATGAAAGAGCTACTAGTAGAAACACTTAATGCCAAACAGTCTTCAGCCCTCCTTTAAGTCGTATCTCCAAATCAGTATTGACTTCTTTTGACCAGATACATCATTTTTGGCTTGTCACCCCAGTATGTCATGTTTTACCACTTGCCACAGGCAGCAGGAGACAACTAGCTGAGCAAACTACAAGCAGTGACATGCAGAAATTAACTCTCAAATCTGAGTACTTAGATAAAATGATATGCAAGCACACACTAGGACAAAAGGAATGGCATTCGTCATCCAAATAGGCTCATCATCCCTCCCCACCCCCCTTGAACAGTAGTTGCAACAGCAATAGAAAAAGATCAAGAAGATGTCTGTTCTTCAGAGTCAACTGTGGAAAAAAGTCAGCAATATATAACAGCAGCGATGGACAAGGAAGAGCAAAACGAAAGAATCTTGTTGAATATTTGTTCATTTACTTTTTCTGAACACAAGCCAAAGTGTGCCACACTGGCTTGTTCTGAACTTCAGATATAGATGTCCTATTCTCCTTAGATCCTTCACAGATTTAGAATTCAGTCTCCCTGAGGCCCCTATAACCAAGTAAGAAAACTCTCTTTATCTAGCTTGGTGGCTGCCAAGACAGATTCCATGTCATTAAGGATGTCAGAGCTCAAAGCCTCTTGCAGACTTGGCATCAGTTCTTCTCCTTCTATATTCATCCCATCTCCTTCCAGTGTCCCAAGGTCCACATTTGTCCCTGGAATGGCTTCAAGGTAGTCTGGAAAACGGTTCTGATGGGATGGTATGTTACTTTGGCTGATACTGTCACCTAGTTATAACACAAAGCAAGATGGATATTAAATATACGGTAAGTACCAAGCCCATAGTTTATCTTCTATCTATCTCTTGCATCATACAAGCAACATGATTCATAGAAATCCATCACAAAACTCAAAGTTGACTTGACTGCATGCAGATGTACAAAGAACATGCCCTTGTTTCAACCTTTCCACCTGACCCAGATCTTTGATGTCATTTAGCATATTTTAAGTTTTATACTTAAAGGAAAAAGAGAATACTGAGTCAGATATTGTTCTGGAGCAGTATTAGCACTGGGTGAGATACTGTTCTTAGCTCTGAACAAACAATATTGCTTAAAAAAGCAAAGGGACACTCAAAGTCCATATAACAACAGGAGTGATACTATTCATGAGCAATCCCCCATCCTCCCAATAGAGTTGACTACAAGTATGTTTTTCACAAATCTAACTATTTCTTTTACAGAAATAGAAGGTGGTAAAAAAGCAATGCAAAAAGTATCACAGCTTCTTAGAGTTGCTTCTTTTCATTGCAAATGGACACAAGTATATTTAGAAAACATGCATTAAGGATGTACACAAAAACAAACCTGTATCCATCTCATCAACACTGTTCAGGAAGTCATCGGGGGTTCTGGGTACACTATAACTGCTCATGCTAAGTCCACTATCTGTGCTTTCATCTCTGGAGTGATATGTTCCACTGTAACAGAAGAAAGGGAGCAAAAAAATTAGGGTAGAGTACTGAAGACACTAAAATAAATGCTTGGTTTTCAACCTATTCAAGGGCTTTGACAACATTGCTGCCACATGAAATGCTCTAGTCTAATAAAAAACTGAAGCCTTTGTCTATGTAAGACACTTGGGTTTTATTTTATGCAGACCTTTCCAATTAAAAACATAGTAGTTAGATTCAATTTAACTTGATGAGAACATACTTAAGCAGCTTTAAAAAACTCCCTACCTGCGTTCTGCATAGTTTTAAACTTTCCATGCCCACAGCTAAAAACCACTGGAAGCATATCACAGATAGTCCCCAACGATTTTTTTAAATCATTAAAAAAAAAAAAAAAAAAAAAGTGTACCCTTTCACACTTCTGTAAGGATAAAAAAAAATTTCTCACTACTAATGTTGCCATGTTTAATCAACCAGTGAAATGTATTATTAGGTCACTGCTGTTATAAATAGGAGCTATAGTTGGAACTCCTTTAGCAATTCTTCAGTTACTTCCCACTGCTGCATTACTACTAGCTCAGTCGTACATGTCATGGCAAGAGAGCGCCCGAATATAAATCAAATACTGGTACAGGAGCCACCCTGTAAACGAACCCTGTTCAGGATGACCTTGTTGACAGAACAGTTAACAAAGCAGTGATGGCATGGGGCCTTACATGCATTCACTTTCTTACGGCCATCTTACTGCCAGCGGAGTGAGCAAGACCAAGAAAGCTGCAGTGGGAAAGGTGGGATGGAGGGCGGGAAGTAGGACAGTGTATTGAGTTTACACAGCAAGGTTTTCGTAGCAGGGGGGCTGCAGGGGTGGCCTCTGTCAGAAGACACCAGGAGCTGACCCCACGTCAGACACAGCTGGTTCCAGCTGGCTCCAAAATGGTCCTGGTGCTGCCCAAAGCTGAGCCCACCAGTGACAGTGGTGGGACCTTTGTGATAATGTATTTAAGAAAGGGTAGAAAACCACTGTGCAGCAGCTGGGGGAGAGGAGTGAGAAACTGTGATAAACAGCCCTGCAGACGCCAAGGTCAGTGAAGGAGGGGCAGGAGGGGCTCCAGGCGCCAGAGCCCGTGGAGAAGATCCTGGTGACACAGGTTCTCTCCCTGCAGCCCATGGAGGACCATGGTGGAGCAGATATCCACCCTGCAGCCTGTGGAGGACCCCGTATCGCAGCAGGTGGACATGCCCTGAAGGAAACTGCAGTCCATGGAGAGCCCACGCTGGAGCAGGCACCTGGCAGGAACTGCGACCCGTGGAGAGGAGCCCAAGCAGGAGCAGGTTTTCTGGCAGGAACTGTGACCTGCATAAGCAGCTGTAGAAATATACCATTACCTCCCTCCCCCTGCATATCCTTATATCCAAGCTTCACAGAATTGTTTTCAAAATCTGTATTTCTTCAGGTTGTGGTAGCATTCACTGAGAATCCTTACTGATTTTCCAGATTGAATACTGACTGAAGATCAACTTGACTTAGTGTTCAAATTAGCATTTGAAGACATACCGATCCTTCTCATAAAGTGCTCAGGAAATATATAGCGTACGCCTTTTTGTCAAGTATGAAGAACCAAACAGATGACGGTTGAACAGCTATTCAACATTAGATGCAAGTAGAATGCCATCAGCCATGAATATATAGATATTAGATTTCACAAAGACATCTTTGCCATACAAGAAAGAAACCTAACGTTTCAGTTAAGTCATAAATATTTCCTTAAGATAGATTTAAAAATAGTATCAACACACATTTTACAACAATCCTAATAATCAAGCTATTTAAAACTTCTGTTAAAAAAATTCTGGTTTACTTTGTGGGACAAAATACTAAAAACAGAACTAAGACTATGCTGAACTAAATCCTTCTAGCTGAGAAGGCTTTTTGGCTGCTGCTCTCACACTTGGAATGTACAGCCCTTCTCTTCAAATCACTCCTTAATACACATCTCTTTCTTCATCAAGGATTTCTTCATTTAGTAGTCACACCACCCAAAATTACTGCATGAAACTAAACTGCATTACCCAAAATAGAGCAGATGCTTCTTCAACTAATACTTGTTAAAATATGTGTATACAAAAGAAGAAATCCCAATTTAGGAGTTAAACAGAGAATTACCATCACTACCAATATAAATCTATCAGACAAAAATATATACACAGATTTGCAAAGCAGAAGGTGAAATAGTCTAATAGTCTGCGTTGCTGGATGTTCCATTCAAAAAATAAAATATACCACAATGACAGTAAGTACTGAAGACAGCAGGCAGAAGACTGACTACATAAATAAAAACACTACTGTACATTTTCTCAAATTGCTTCAATATAGCAATTACTTTCTGAGATTTTTTTGGATGTTCTGATTATGGAGGCAGTGGAAAATATTCCGCGACTTAAACTGTGGATGTCCAGCTTTGGTAACTGAAGTTAGGAGGACTGTCACACCAGGAACTTTATATATACAGTATAAAGATAGAAAGAAGCATGTCTCTAAGTCTGAAGTTTAACATAAGGGACATCGAGGAGATCTTTAGGGCAAAACTATCAGACTGCTGTATCTAATTCAGAGACAGCAATGCACATCCACAAATATCCTTTATTAAAATCCCTTTTCCTTAGCCATATGCCAAAATTAAGCGTGGTGATGTACATGAAATTACCTAGAAGGGGACAATGCTCAGATCAAAATGCAAATTAAGATATTCTGAACTCAAGTCAGGTACAGATTTTCAGTATTTTGCGTGGGGAAAGGGCTACAAAAAAAAAAGCCCAGAAAACAGGTTTTGAAGATGTGAGGATTCTACACCACTTAAGAACAAATTTCAAAATAGACCTGGGTTCAATGTATGATGGCAACAGCCTTCAAGAAATTCAAGCTAGTATGTTACTATAACACATCAAGGCCATCATTATCTACAGAGGCTTCTCACAGGAGAGCAGGTCAGTTTTAAGATTTCTTGTCCTTTTTATTCCTTGGGACAGGGCCAGCACAGTTAAGGGTTGCTCACATCAGATCCCAGGATGAATTCCATGGAGAACAATCCCTTCCTCTAACAAAAAATTGAAGTTTTCTAATCAGATACGTTTGTGTAGGAGGTAAGTCTTCCTGAAGGGCTTACCTAAAATTTGGAAATACCATTTACTTCCTTAGGGAGTTCAGTAACAAAACACCACTACTTTCTTCTCCATGTGCAAGGCCTTTCTTTTTTTTTTTTTCATTTGGTATTCTCCAATATATACAACGCACTGTGTACCTTGAGACAGACTTCTCTTCCGCTCTCACAGTAGCACACGCAAAACTAGCACAGATAATACTTCGTGCAGTAGGAGAAAAAGCTTAAGTGCAATAGATTTTATTTACATAACCTAAACTGTAAGAATGACAACAGATTCCACTGGCAAGATGGAAGGTATGTTCTTGCACCATCTCCACTGAACTTCACTAATTTTGAGAATTAGAGTGAGGATAGATTATATGAAATGACAGAGAAGTCTTCTGGAAAAGGCAGAAAATGAAACAAACTTAAGCTGACAGAATATCAGTAACTGGAAAAGTTACATACAATGACAGCACAACTTTAGGGATGAAGAACCTAAGTGTGAGATATTAGCAACATTAAGTTATTTAAAAGAATACGGGAAGGGGTTTACAGCAAAGGTTTACAAAGATTTCAACAGTTTTCAGTATCTAAAATTATGGCAGGTATTTAAGGTTGCCCTACTCCAAAATCACGGCAGTTCTAACGTGATGTGGACTTCTTACCTTATGAGCAGGTTTGAAACTGTATTGGTGGCAAAAATCATGGAAGTTAAGACTTATACACGGTAAAAGAATCAAGATGCATTTTATGGGGTTTTCCACGAGTATAATAATGTACCGTTAAAGAGAAGGACAAGCAGTTCTTATACTTCGTGAGCACTTACAGTAAGCATCCTAAAGGTAACGCAGAAAAGTAGTGACGAACTCTGGCAGAATTACATAATTTTTCTCTTTTATGGTAGGGAATACTGAGTTGATATCAGCTTAGAATGCTGACAAAATATAGTCCAATGAAGAACTACAAAATTAACTACTCCAATGTAAGATCAACTACTTGATACTGCTGATACTGTTAGTAGATTTTTACTCCATTGATTAAATGTTTATATGGCTTGGAGATTTGACTGTTTTACCATTTTCATGTTTTCTTTCCAGCATCCTAAGCAAAAAATACAGATGCGAAACAGCAGTTTCTCCAAAGTTGTAATGGTCAGTATGAAGCATTTGCAAGCTGTAATTAGAACAGTATTTCCAACAAAATAAACACTGCAACTCAGAGGGATTAAGGAAAAAGTCGTATCAAAAAGACAAGTCTATACTGTAAAATTCTAAATCTTGACTTAGAAGACCCAATTCAAAATAACATAGCATTTAAAAAGAAACATGCCACTATTTGCAGATCTAACATTAACAGAGTAAAAATACTGCTAAATTAAATACCTGAAGTGGAGGGGAAGGGTGAATGGAGAAACCTTAAAATGAACCTCAAGGTGTAGTCCTAAATGTGCCTCACAGTTCATTTGATCTCATAGCAAGGTATTCACAAATTCTTCTGAGTCAGTAATTTGAAATGACTGTTAGTCAACAGATTATGCAGAGGCAAACATGTTATGACTTTGAATAAAAAAACCTTCCTACAAGTCTGAACAGACTACTTCCTCCCACAGGAGACAGCTTTTAATCCTCAACTTTTACTAGACTTGCCATTTAAGGAAAGATTCATTTACAGCTGTGGCTTTTGGCACAGACAGATGTTCAAAATAAACTATTACATGTACCAAACAGAATTTTACATCAAATTTTTTCCCTCTAGTAGCTATTCCTACAAACCTGTTAAGAAAGGGATCAGAACTATTTGTAGTCATTGTTCGCAGTTCCTGAGACATTCCAGGAGATGACACGGGATTTTGAGATCCACCGTCTTGTTCCATTGTTGGAAGCTGGCTACGGAGAGCCAATTCCTAGAACAGGGGGAAGGGGAGAAAGAAAGATCATGTTAGGCATTTGAATGCTCTTTTCAGATACATAAACACACGACATTATAAGTAATTGATGCTTTTACTGTTTCCAGCTACAAGATTTAAATGCAATTAAGTTTCTGAAGACAAAGCAAGTATTTTTACTGGCTTCAATGGTAATGAAAGTTCCACCAGTCAGGCCCAGTGTTAGAGAGACTTCACTGTAGATGTATTTATGGATATAAATATCTGTATGTTTACATAAATCTTTTCTAGTTCACTTCAATATCCTTTTGCTAAGTCTATTCTTAAGATGAAAAAAAGAATTGTTAACACCATCTGACCCCTAAGATACGTCTGTCTAGCTCTGCTGACTAGCACTTTTCCCCTATTTTTTTTTAAGTTCTGATTTCCTTTTTACCTTTTTTGCT